CTCATTGCTGTGTTTTTTAAGTGATTTGGAAGTTTATTGAACAATTTAATTCCCATGTAATGAATACTTCTTTCTAAAGATGTCGTAGAATGATGAGGGTATATAAGCAAATTCTGGTTTCTAGTATTGTAATTGTGGCTATTTTTTTCTATAGAGTACCAATTTAAATTATTTTTTACATGACACAGAACCTCAAAAATGTAGATACATGGTACTGTAAGTATTTTTAAACTTTTAAATACTTCTTTACATGAGCTTCCAGGCTGTTTGAGGGTCATGGCTCTTAGGCATTTCTTTTGTACTTTTAATACATTTTTTATTAAATTTGTTGCGCCCCATAATGTTATTCCATATTTCACTAGCGGGTAAAAATAGCCATAGTACAAAATAAGTTTTGTTTCCATGCTGTTACAGTGTGTAAGGCAACTCATATTAAAACAAATGTTATTTAATCTCTTACATAATGGTACAATATGTTCATGCCACTTCAGATTTTCATCACATATTACCCCTAATAATTTCACAGACTTCTGATTCTTCAAATCATCATTGCCAACTGTAACCTTTATTTCACCCTCTCTATATTGCATACTTCTGAAGTGAATTATATTTGTCTTGTCTGCATTCAGCAACAGTCCATTTATTTTAAACCAATTTTCTAATTCTTTTATTATTGTCTCCGCTGTAAATTTATTTTTTTCTGTGCTATTATCTCTAATTAATGCTGTAGTATCATCTGCAAACATTACTATATCGTCTTTATATTCATTGGAAGATCATTAACATATATTACAAACAAAGCTGGGCCTAAAATTGATCCTTGAGGGACTCCTGAATTTACAGTACAGTATTTTGATTCATACGTCATGTTATCTATACTTAATGATGTTTTTTGCATTCTTTTAGTTAAATATGATCTAAACCATTTCAGACTGTACCCTCTGATTCCATGTACCTCTAGCTTTTTTAACAGAACCTCATGGTCTACACAATCAAAAGCCTTTGACAGGTCACAACAAATTGCTGCAGTGGTCTGTGACCTGTCCCATGCCCTGTAAATATTGTCAGTTAGAGAGATGAGTGCTGAGTTGGTGGAATGAGATTTTCTAAAACCATGTTGACTTTTGGTTATTAATTTATTTTTCTCTAGATATTCCTGTAATTGAACATTTACAGCTTTCTCAAATATTTTTGAAAAGACAATGAGACTGGACGATAGTTTTCAATCAAGTTTTTATCCCCTTTCTTATAAATTGGCCTAACAATTGATATTTTTAGTTTTGATGGAAAATCACCTGTAAACAGTGACTGATTAATTAATGTGCAGATTGGCATAGCTATATAATCTTTACACTCTTTAATTAAGGTGACAGGAATCTCGTCCCAACCAGTACCAAGATACATAATCGACACATATGCTTACTATGTGTCTTATTACTTACTATATGATGGACCGCGCAGGCATCTTGCCTCTAAGACTGACGTTTTCCAAACGAATATAGAAGTTAGATCTACATTCTTCATTTTAGGCTTGAAATAAGTTTGTTTGTGGGTAAGAGCGAATGAGTAAGCATGAACAATAATTAATCCCCCCTTTTACCCTTCTCCCCGACACGCCACCATACCACGGCATCTTACTAGCAGAGCTCAAGGTCATTGACGTAATTGTAATGAACTACATACATTTAGTCTTAATAGGCTAAATGTCAAGTTATTTTGAAGCTGGACATTGAGTTTTAGTGCCGTTTTCATTGGCATCTACCACTTCTAAGATGACTAAGATGGCACTAAGATGGCGGACCTGGCTTCAGCTGCTTGTATGTTAGTTAGATAGGCCATCTATTGGTCTTTTGTGATCGTTGATTTAAACTAATGGAATTATGATGAAAATTTGAACATGAATTATTAGCAGTTTTGCAGGGATGATAAACAATAGTTTTTTTATTTTTTTTTATTTGTATTGCTTGTCAGTTGGCAACAAATCTTAGAGATGTGTATACATTTTTTAGGACAAAATTGAATTGGCAGATATCATGGTAAAGTAGCGTACTAGAAAAAGTTACTGTCAACTCATCCAATTTTTACAGCAGTGCTGTTGACATGCTAGGCGAGCAACCGCGACAGTGAGGACGGGGAACAGCTGATTTCATGTTCCTAGTTGGCAAATTGTCTGCTAGCTACTAACGTACACATGCATAAGCCATCAGCGGTAGCACCAATAGCCTCATTGACTATAAAAACACTTGTGTTAAGGTTTAAATACAGTAGTTAATGCTATTACTGAATATGATACTATACATATTGTTACTAATATATGAAATGGAGAAAAACATTACCCTAAAAATACAAAATTTCCCAATTTGTATCCAGACCTTTTTAAATAGCTTAAAAAACAAATAATTTAGTATATCAAAGTGTTTTTGTACGGCTATTGGTAACAGGACGAATTCAAAAATTGTAAATTTAAAATCCCCATGTTATTCTTATAAAGAATATTGTAAAATGTTGTAGTTTGCGTGTTTATGGATATATTTTGATCAAACTTGGCAAATTTGTTCAAACAATTACAAAACTATTTGGATCATCAACGGTACTTACTCTAGATTTCTCAAGGTAGGACACGTGAATTGGAATTTTGGCGTTACAGACACAATGACAGAAACAATCAAACAAACGTACAGATATTGACATAAGACTCGGTTCGGCTTTCTTATTATATAACACGTAGAAATAACCAAACACTTCATGAATATACGCAATGTACAGACAAAAGAGTAAAGACAGTAATCTTATCTTATAATTAACTATAGTGTTTCTGCCCGTGCTTCGCAACGGGGTGAGAATCTTTGGGTCTCTAAATCCACCGTAAAAAATAGTATATTTCGTACCTAGGGCCGAAAGTGACGTTTTGCCGACTCGAGATCGGGTTTTAAGTTCGAGACGAAGTTGAGAACGTGAAACGATCGAGAGCTGCAAACCCATTTTGGCTTGTGGTACGAACGCTATTTTTCACCCAAGTATGTTTTGCAATATAACGTCCCTCTTATTTATGTGAAATATTTTGAGGAATCAGTAAAATCAAAAATAACAATAAATAGTTGTCTAGGCAGCTGTGTCAAAAAAACAAGTCTATTACAATGCCATGGATACAGCTTGTGCATTTAATATACATTAATGTTTTAAGTAAATAAGCGAACAAGTGATTTTGCAGCCCTAGGGATGTAAACGCCTGCTCGGCCCCTATATGACGATGACAACTGGCATGGCCAGCAAAACATAACTTTCAGCCACCAATTAACGTATGTAAAACAGCTAAAAACATCATAGTGTGGTGAAAAATTTGTTCCACATACATGAATTAATTATATGCATACAGAAAAAATAGAGTCATACTTATTTCGTATTTTTATGTAAATTTCTTGTATATTCCCATGAAACTGATAATTTACCCAGCACTTAAGGCCTTTAATCCAAGTATCGAAGTATCTAAGTTCGTAAACCATACATATAATGTGACGATAAAATATCAACGACATAGCATTTGGTCCATTGACTTTAAATCCATTAATTGTCAAAATTATTAGAGCTTGGAAAAAACTGCATGTAAAAAAAATCTTTACACTAATAAAAGACGACGTGAGGAGCGCGGGCAATCGCAATGAGCTACAGCGGCTAGGACATAGCCACATGAATACAGAACGGAATGAAGGAACTAGAACGGAGAACTGGCAACAGCGCACGCGAGAAGTAGGTGGGGCGAACACACTGCTCAAGCGCTACAACGCATTAGTGGCATCCTGTCCACACACTTTTGATATATACCGATTTGTGGCAAGGTGCTACAATTAAAAACCGGAATGTTAGATGTTAAAATGGAGTGTTCATTAAAAATATCGATGCACACATGTTTCTACCACCTTCCTTCATCCACTGGTGGCCGCAGTTTGAAAGATGCCACAATTAGGTGTTTGCGAGTATTCGGTAAAACCCCGTAAGTGTGTGTGTGTACATGTGTACAGAGCTACAGGCCTAAACTGTTGACCAATTTTGATGAAATTTGGTATCTAGGTTGCATTCCATGATAATTTTGATTTTTAATTGTGATTTTTCCTTAAAAACCTATAAATGAACAAAAATCAGACTTTTTAGGAAAAAAACCCGTTTTTATTAAAATTAATGCGTTATGGTCCTTATAATAAAAAAAAGTGGGACCTCCCCCCCCCCATTATTGTAAAAATTACGGTTTAAAAGTTATTGCAACTTTTGTGTTTTTTTCCCTATAAAATATGATAGTTACTCCCACCGCATACCCATGAGAAAGGTTGTTGACCAGCTTATGGGAGAAAGTATGAGTCAGATCGCTAATACTGTTTATTAATTATGTGTTTGGATTTGCATTTTGACATTATGGACAATACAAATGTAGATTTTTGTAAAAAAATTAGGTATATTATAGCAGCATTTTAGTAAGATTTAAAGAGCTATTTAGACGCGATAACCTTTAGATCTTAAAGTTCACTCGGGATGGAACGGGAAAATTCATAAAGGGTAAGACTGGATTTCTCATTACAGTAAAGCGAGATGAAAAAGGATTTTCTCGATCCTGTTAGTGGGATTTTTGTTTCGGTCGTGTGGAGACACTTTTCATGATGTCTAGCTATTGCAAAACTCGTGACCTACCTTCCACTGGCACTGTACCTAGTGAATAGTTAGCGTCTAGTTGACCAATATTAAACGTTTTTTTTCATGTGGGTTTTTGTGTCCAGTGTTATGTAATGGTTTAAAACTTCTGACAAACTCCAATAAGATGAAATTTTTTGTGTTTAACATTCTGATCTGAATATTTGCTATGTTTTATGAAGCATGACACAGCTGTTGTTGACATAAAGTATACTTAGCAATGGATTGTTCCAACAGCAATGCTGGTAAAATAAATCTTTATTGATTCTGCTGATTTAGAAGCCACACAGCATAAAATTAATACTTGTACAATATTTTAGATGACTTGGATGTCTCCCCTGACATATTTGAGTACTTCCTCGGAACACTTCCACTGTTGCACTCAGACCCTACACTTTGGTGTGTTTCTGCTTGGAATGACAACGGGAAACTCAACTTGGTGAATAAGGAAGCAAGAGATGTTATATACAGAACAGACTTCTTTCCAGGACTAGGTTGGATGCTAAACAAACAACTGTGGAGTGAGCTTTCCGTCAAGTGGCCTACCAGGTACAAGAACAACTTTGAAACCAACTTTCCTTGGTTGGATTGGGCCTGTTTGTAAATTTAATTAAATAGATGTTGGTCTATTTGATTGATTAAAAGTTAAACATTCAGTGTTTTGTTTGGTCTCTAGGAACTAATGAAAAGTTCAAAATTCTGGACCAAGGTTTTACCATGAAGACAACACAGTAATAGCTACTTACCTACACAGATCTTTTTGCTAAATACACGTGTCCTACAATGTCACTTCAAAAGGTCGCTGATAAGTTACAGATTTGTATTTCAGGGATACAAAAAAACATACCTTACATAAATACATACCCTAACATACATACCGTAAATTCAATTGAAAATAATCAAAAACAACCTTAAGACTTGCTTAAAAATCTGATGATCATTAATGGGACAAATTGATTGTATGAACGTTTACATATTTATTGTCTTCGATAAGGATAAAGTAAAAGTAAATACAGTAGAACTCTATCTATCCGTGTCAATTGGAACCGGACCCTATTTGAAAATTGGATTTTTACTAAAGTCTTTTAAAGAAAAAAGTGCAAGTCATGCTGAGGTTTTACTATAGCGATCGCAGTGTGTGTCTGTGACGATTTTGCAATCAGAAAATTAACGCTTTCACCACGGTTGCGGTGACCGCAGGAGACGATGATAGTGTCATCACAACCTTGGGATACATCTAACTTTTTGCCGCGATCGCGAAAAAACAATGATGATGTTACCGTGACCGTGGGAGACGATGATGGTGTCATCACAATCGTGAGACAGGTTTTGGATTTTGCCGCGATCACGACTTCCTTAACAACAATTCTTATTACTATGGTTTTAAACTTTAAATGATTTCTGTAAGCAATTTGAGTAGTCGGTGATTCAGATAGTTGGAGTTCTACTGTATTATTTTATTGTTCTATGATTTAGAAGGTGATGGATGTGTTTCAGCTACTGGGACGACTGGATTAGACAACCTGAGCAGCGAAGGAACCGAGCTTGTCTTCGGCCTGAGCTGTCTCGGACACGCACATTTGGCAAAATAGGTGTAAGCAAGTAAGTACCTGCCAGTGTCACACCTCATTATGTATTATAATTGTAACTGTAATTATTATTACCTAAATCAAACTTAGTAACTTCTTAGAAAGACAAATTTAGCATTCTCAATCCAAATAAAGATTTAAAAACTTCTTGAGCTGATGTAAAATTGTAAAATACTTTTAAATTTGTGATCACAAAAATAATAAAGGTTGCCACTATATTTTGAGAGTCTATACATCAGTCCATTCTTGGATGTATCAGTACACCCATTGCTTTGCTGACTATTTTACACACAAGCCTGAGGTCCTTGTAGGCAGGTAAATTTGAAGTATAAAGAGGTTACCTGACTTGTTCATACTGTCAACTATCAATTTCACTTGTATACTTTTATAGTAGAGCTGATATTAAAAAGGTACACCTTCATTTATAGCATGAAACTTAACTGGTCATGATAGTCTGATTTATCTATTAAAAATCAAAAACTCATCAGACTACAAATCCATTAGAAAATATCAAAAATCACTGGAATTTTACTTTCTAACCAACACTTTGTCATGAATGTTAAGGCATTAAGGCCTTCCTACACCGCTGGATGTACATAGCTGGATGTACACCTTGCTGGGCAAGCTAGCTACACGCCAATTCACACATCCGCGGATGCTATACCAGCCACGATTGCTGTTGTATACCGTCAGTATTCGGTAATTATATCGATCACGGACGTCTCGCTAAAATTATATTTTTTTCACTATTCTCATGCTAAATAATATCCTGAATTCAAAAATGATAATCATTTTCCCCGTAAAAGCGGAAAAACAAAAAAAAACTAAATTTTTGTGGAAATGGGTCATACTCAAATTATCCGGTAGAGTGAGCTGAACAAGAATATGCAAGAATTTTTAAGATCCGATGGATATTAACAGAGATACAGCCGGAAAAGCATCAGGAAATCTAGTTAGTTCCAAAATGTCCAAAAATAGGTAAGGTTAGGTTATATTATATTACATTATATTATACAGGGTTGGGCAAATGTGTGGATACCCCTAGTTAACCTTTTAATGGGCGACACCAGGAAAACTAAACTTCACATACCTTCATAAACAATAAAACTGCACTTTTTGGACGGTATCCCAATTTTTCCTGGGACCCCAAAATGGCGTATTTTGGGGGCAGCTCAACAATTTTAAATGTAAAGCCACATCGAGTGACACCTCATTTTAGAGGCCTTTATTAAAGAAGAATATCAGAGAAAACTAGAGGTCTCTATTTCAACCCAGTACGACATGACGGTCATTTTAAATTTTGATCAGCCTGAGAGAACCCACTTAAATGTAGGCATCAATATCCCATATTAACTTTTTAGCGGGTTATACCAGGAAAACTAAACTCCGCATACCTTCATAAGAAACAAAAATGCACTTTTTGGTCGGTATCACAATTTTGCCCGGGACTTTGAAATGGGGTATTTTGGGGGCAGCTCAACAATTTTAAATGTAAACCCCCATCGAGTGACACCTCATTTTAAAGGCCTTTATTAATGAAGAATATCAGAGAAAACTAGAGGTCTCTATCTCAACCCACTACGACATGGCGGTCATTTGAAAATTCATCGTACAATTTAACCTCATTAAAAGTTTCTTGATGAAACAATTATGAACAGTGTAAACCTACGTTATTAAAACATTTCATAAGAAATTCACGTTGCAAAAATTTCAAATTATCACAAACATTTTTAATGGTGTAGGAAACAATTTTATTACATTATTTAACATAAAAACTCATTGGTCCTACTCACCTAATTTCCTTATAACAGATGCTCGAATTGCTCCCCTTGTACTGTCTGGACAAGTCCTAGCCTGTTGTGAAAATGTGAAACAGCACGTAGAATGGATTCTCGTGGAACTTTTCCAATTTCCTCAACTATTCTGTTCTTCAGATCATTTATGCACTGTGGTTTGGTTTTATACACATTTTCTTTAATATGGCCCCATGCAAAGTAATCTAGTGGTGACAAATCAGGTGACCTTGCAGGCCACTCGATAGCACCTTGTCTCCCTATCCAGCGATTTGGAAAAACGTTGTTCAAATACGCGCGGACATCCAGTCCATAGTGTGGTGGAGCTCCATCTTGCTGGAACCAAATTTGATTACAGTTATTTGTTGCTAACTGGACAGCGGGAATAATTTGCTGTTGGAGCATTGCCAGGTACTCTGCGGAATTAAGATTTCCTGCAATGAAGAAGGGTCCGACAAATTTGGTTCCTACAGTACCAAGCCAAACATTTACTTTTTCAGGATGTTGTGTGTGTTGTTCTCTCATCCAGCAAGGGTTTTCATCACACCAATAGCGACAATTATGCCTGTTGACATTTCCGTTGATCATAAAGGTTGCTTCATCCGAGAAAACAACGTTATTCAATGTAATAGTATTGTTATCAATATTTACCATCATAAGCTCGCCAAATTCTACTCGATGATCGAAGTCATCCTCAGACAGTTCCTGAACCAAATGAAATTTGTATGCTTTGAAACCATTTTTGTGTAAAACTCTACCCACTGATCTTCGGGAGATTTCTACACTTTTGGAAACAAAATTTGTGGAGACATGGGGATTTTCTCCGATGGGTAGCAAAACGTCCAATGAATTTTCTTCGTCTGTTGCAGTTGTCGGTCTTCCTGATTTGGGGCGCTCCTTAACACTGCCTGTGTCCTCAAAACGTTGAATAGTTTTTTGTACTCCTGATTTTGAAATAGGGTTGCGATTAGGAAAAGAATCATTAAATAACTTCTTTACTTGTTCATAACTTCTAATTCTGTCACCATATCCTCGCATTATTATAGTGATACGCTCTCATTCACTTAGCTCCATTTTACTTAACACGAGAAAATAGTCATTAAATTGGCTAGCAATAATAATGGTTAGTGCTAAAAGATTTAATAAAGGAGCTATAGTTCTCACTCAAATGCCAGTCTGACGATTACTGATAAGTGTAGTGTCATTCATATGCCTTTGCATTTAACATATATTTTATAATTTAGTTTGTTGTGGTGATGATGACTCTTGTTGAATAATAAACACATTCTTTACTTGCAACATTTATTAGTATTTTATATTATCTTACATGGTGTCAGGTTGTGAAATAAACATTTAAAACATGCCAAGATCTAACAAGAAAACTTCTCGAAAGTCAAAAAAGGAAGAGGATGAGTTTACAACTGAAGATCCGTACATCCATACAAGATTAGGCTGCATGAAGATGCAAAACCTTGCGCTGTTATGTCACCGAGGAGGGTGGCTTTCTCACTCCACAAACAGGTTAAATATGAATTGGACAGGATGCTTGCTGATGGTGTAATAGAACCAGTAACTGAACCTACTGACTGGTGTTCTCCCGTAGTAGTGGTCATGGTAGAATTAGACTCTGTGTTGATTACACAAAATTGAACCAACATGTGAAAAGAGAACTGTTGCAGCTTCCATCAGTGGATGAGTCTCTAGCTAAGTTGGAAGGAGGTAAGCTTTTCACTAAGTTGGATGCTGCCAATGGATTCTGGCAGGTTCCACTTCACAGTGATTCATTTAAACTCAAAACGTTCATTACACCATTCGGGCGATATTTCTTCAAGAGACTTCCGTTTAGAATCTGTTCTGGACCGGAGGTTTTCCAGTTCCGACTGAGTCAAATGCTTTCAGATATCCCAGGCGTAGTGAATCAAGCGGATGGTATCTTGATAATAGGGAAGATAGAAGCAGAACATGACAGCAGAGTCAAACTGGTACTTAAGAGACTCTCAGAAAATGGTATCACGTTAAACAAAAACAAATGTAAGTTTGGAGTAGAAAGTGTGATTTTCCTCGGACACGTTGTCTCATCGCAGGGAGTCAGTATTGACCCAGAGAAGACTAAAGCTATTCTGGCCATGAAAAGCCCCCAGAGTATAACGGAGGTTCGACAGTTTTTGGGAATGATAAACCAATTGATGAAGTTCGTTCCTCATCTAGCTGAAAAAACAGCACCAATCAGAAGTCTCCTTTAAAAAGGAGTTGAATGGACTTGGGATGAGCCTCAAGAACAAGATTTTAAGGAAAGGTTGTAGCTAATGATACTGTATTGGCCAACTACAACAGAGAAGCGAAAACCCATGTAATGGCAGATTCATCATCTTATGATTTAGGGGCAGTGATCGAGCAGTTGGATGGAAAGGATTGGCGTCCATTAGCATTTACATCGAGGACACTAACAGAAACAGAGTCAAGATATGCTACCATTGAAAAAGAAGCTCTCGGCTTAACTTGAGCTTGCGAAAGATTTTCTCGCTTTATTCTTGGTAAAAAGTTCCAGCTTTACACGGATCATAAGCCTCTGACTGAGATAATGGGTTCAAAGCCGATCTCTGATCTTTCTTCTCGGCTGCAACGTTTTCGTATGAGATTGCAAAATTTTGACTACGAAGTTGTTCACATCCCGGAGAAAGAAAATGTAACTGCAGATTTACTATCAAGAAGCCCTGAAATTTCACCAATGGATCGGGAGAATGAGGTTATCGAGAATCTGGAGGAAGAAATGTTTGTAAGAAGCATAATTGATGCATTGCCTTGTTCTGATAAACGGCTGTTGGAAATTAAGAATTCCCAACATGAAGACCCAGAAGGACAGGAACTCTTAAAATGCATCCAAGAAAATACGTGGCAGAAAAATTTGGTATTCTGGAAGTATCGCAATGAATTCGCTTTGGAAGATGGATTAATTGTAAAGGGAAGGAAAATGTTCATTCCAAAGGCCTTGAGAAAAGAAATCTTATCAAGATTAGATGAGGGACATTTGGGTATAGTGAAATGTCGGCGGCGTGCTCAAGAATCTGTTTGGTGGCCAGGCTGTTCAACAGTAGTACTACAGTGGAAAATTGTCCAACGTGTATAGAGCACAGACTACAGCGAAAGGAGCCTCTGATATCTACGCAGCTTCCTCAAGAGCCTTGGACCCATTTATGTGCAGATATTTTGAAATGTAACC